TAGTTGTTGGGCTGCTGCAACAGCTGTTGAACTTGCTAAATACGGCTGTATGCATATTTATATTACCGCCCTTTCAAGCCGCTACTAAACTACCAACATTGCCGATTTTGGAGGAGTTTTTTAAATTAGTTTCCAAAACAACAGCAACTGCCCACCTCTGTCCGCCCTGTCTATCCACCATGACACGCCGCGTTTACACCAGCAGGCTTTCCTTCCCCCAATGGCACAGACTCACGCAAACGCACTTGCCACCGAGGTCACGCAAAACCGCATGGCACAGCGACATCACCTTTCGAAAGCTTTAGTTGTTTGTCTAATGAAGAATCACTATTCTAATAAAAGTTTTTGTATGGGAAAAAGAACCTTTCGATCTGGAGGTTTTTTTGAACCTTCGATACGAACTTAATAATGATTTTTTTTGTTTTGTTTTGAAGCTCTTCCCAGCTGACCCTATTTTGGACTCCCCAATTTCAGGGACCCCCCTGTTTAAAAAAGCGCCCGAGGTTTCCTTATTAGGGGGGGCCGGCGTGTTTTAATAGGTGGACCGGATTATGTGTTCACCATCGTGGAGTATATCTTGGCTCATCACCCGCACACACTCTTCCGCTATCATTCCTCTTCCTTCCACTGTTGCCTCCACGTGACGTGTTTTCTGGTCCATTAACTTGTTGGGAGACCGATCTGTAAGGAATGTTTTCCAGAAGAGTTGCAATGCAATTTGTTGTAATCCGCCTTTTTGCCTATGCACCATGTTAGTAGATTCCCTTGCTCCCATTTTCTCTTGGTCAAGATTCATTGGTATGCTCTTGGTTCATGCATTTCTCACTCCCACCGCTGTCCTTCTACTGTAATATGTGTGTATGTGTGTATATCGTATATTTGTGTATATGTGCGCTCAAAATTTTGTTCCGGCTTGCCTTGAGCCGTGCCTCACTTTGACTTGTTTGCCTACTACTGCGCTAAAAAATTTAAGTGGAGAATGTTCAAAGGTTGTTGAGTTGAATAATGTTCAAAGGTTTGCCTCTCGTTGAGTGTGCAATTTTTGTTTTGTTGTTTGTTTACGTTTGCTAGAAATGTACAACGCGTGTTGTTGTTTCCTGGACTTCCACAGCTTACTTGGGTTTTTTTGGAATGCATTTGAGTACGTTGAATAGCCATACTGACCAAAATGTTACATTATTCGGAGAGCGGTTATTTGCCAATGCGCCAGTTGCGAGGTAGTGTTGTTTTTGGACGGCACCATCAAGGCTGGATCATAAATCGCACAGCCGCCATCGCGGCTTTGAGGTTGTCCTTGCCTTGACATTGAGGCAAGTTGGACAGTGAAAATGATTCTTTTGGCGCCATCTCGTGCTCGGAGAGGGTTGGCTTGCAGCAAAGCCTGTGTATCTCACAACCGTTTGGTTTGCGTTTACCGCATGCCAACCTCAGACAGGCTCCTAACACTGAGCTGTCAGCGGGTGCTGTGAAGGCCAGCCTCAGCTTTCATTACAGTAGACAGTAGAGTGCCCACCAGCGACAGTTACTTTCAAAGCAACAACGGACGGCTGTGATTATTCCTCCCCTTTTTGATTCCCCGTGGTCTATTTTTTTGAGGTTTGCGTGACCACGTTGATTCTTGCTGCAATGATCTGCAATCCAAGCGCTTTGCCGTGTCGCCTCAAATTGTCTCAAACCCCATCATGGCTTCACCCCTCTACATTTGTTGAATTGTTCATTGTAACATTTGTCTTCTTTCGATGCTGCCTCATCTAGACAACGCTTGGAATGATAGGTTTTGTTAGATGTTGATGCCCACCCCCTGGTACCTCAAGTGACTTTGTTGCCGCTCGTGGACCGCACGGCTTTGCCACCTGACTTGTAGCAAACTGCACGCAAAGCTTCTGGTCCAAGAACATATCTACTCGCGGAGATTCGCAGAACAAGCAGACAAGCAGATGATACAGACAAACCGTCCATTGCCAAGGGTGTCACGCGGCATGACCATTGACAAGGGTTCAAGTTTTTGACACGACATGTACATTTGTAGCGCTTCCAGTGGCCAGGCCTTGCTCAAAACAGGGCTTGCTTTCAAGGCCGATGAACTAAGGACTTCGAAGAGCATGATTGTTTTCTGATTTGGGGAGCGCTTAATCTGACCGCTGACCAGCTTTTTCAGGCAATCGATTGCAATGATGAGAAATACAATCCAGGCGTGAAAGCCGCCATTCAGGACATGAGTGAGAATAGATAGTGAACATTTGGGGATGTTGAGTTCTTCTTTCGATTGCTTTCAAACTGGCGAAAGAATTGGACTGAAGCAGCGCAATTTTTTGTTCCCTTGCTGCAGGAGCTCACCGGCCAGCAGGTTCCCCAGCTGTTCGCTGGAGGACAGCGTGTGGCAAACGGCCAGGAGATTCAGGCAAGGCAACCACAACTCATGTGTCAGAAATTCCGCACCGAGGGTTTTGAACGCATTCAATTTCCGGAAGACATACTCTAAGAGTATGTTGAGAAAAACAATGACAATGAGTGTTTCAATTCCTTTGAGGAGATGGATCAAGCCAGTTTGTTAGACAAGCTGTCGGCCCTGGGAGCTGTGGAGGCAAATGTGTTATCAGAGACAGACAGATGGAGTGAAACTTTGTTTTACATCAGGACGTAGTATTATTAGTACTTATTAGTACTATTCATGGACTCATGGTCAGCCTAGGTCGTTCTTGTGCCTTCCTAGGGATTGGGCCCTTCTGTGGATTTGCAAGCAAAATGCATAAGACTGCATGAACATGTCCAGGCGGCTTGAGCAGCTCAGCGAAAAGAAACGCATGTGGCCGCATGTGTGCTTTGTTTCACTGAGCTGATGCAAAGGGCAAATTTCTTGCAAGTTTGGAGTTGGTAAGCCACTTTGCTACTGGTCCGAATCGCCAATTTGCGAGTGAAATGAGCGTTGCCGGACTGGCATGCAGTTCCAAGATCTGGGAGAAGCAGCTAACTATGCTCAGCAGCATTTTGCTAGGGTACATGCTTGTAACTATCCTTTGGGACATGCACATGGAGTTGAAGTTTAAACCCACTCTCGTACGCTAGCGGAATGTGGCAGGCGCGAGAGGCTGTTTGCAATGATTCAATACTTTCCCTTTGTTGCGGGTGCTTTGTCAGTCGTTGCGCTGTCGCGCTTGGGGTCCCAAAGATGGATGCCACTGATGACACAGCCTGCATTGCGGCACTTATACATGTCAGCACTTCAGCAACTGGCAGAAACCAGGATTGCAGGGCTGAGGGCAGAAATAGGGTCTTTGGAGAAAGACGCATGCACTACTGTAGCCACTGCACAGTCTACTAGTGTCCAATTCTAATTGTCTTTCCGGTATGAACCAAGCAAAGACATGTGCGAGGATTCGACCATCTGCGACGCTGTTCAATTCCTTGCTGACAGCTGCATCCCGAGATGGGGACCCGTTTCAATGTGAACTCTGGTTTCGCAGGACAGGAACCATGGAATTGCATCTCTTGTCGTATATAGCAAAGAAAACATTGATAAATGCTTCATATCTACGTACTCTGTTTGGTTGCATCAAACAAGTTTGGAGAAAGCATAGCAGAAAACATATACTCGAACGGAAGATGCTAAGAATCATGAAGCATCAATTTGCTGAAGGGCCGTTCGAAGAGGTCCATCATGGTACAGGATTTCCGTTCATGATGAGTCTTGGATAAAGCTGACTCAAACGAGTTCCACGGCTTCAGGATGGTTTGGAGCAAAGTTGCTCCAGATGTGACCAGCTTTACCTCCGTAATCTCTGCATTTGCAAGAGCAGGACCGACGCAACGCAGTTGTTGAGTCAATGCTTGTAGCCTTACGCTCGCATCGAAATAGTCAAACATTCTCATTCCCAGCCTGTTGTTTTCCGCAGTTTACTTTGCAACTTAATTCTCCCGAATCTTGATGCACGGGTCATTCTTACACCGGCCGAACACCTGAGGCCCGTGCGTAAGCTATTGTGTAGCTTGTTGACCGATTTTGTAGCGCAACTGCTTGAGGGAAGTGGAGAAGGGACTCGCAACCTTTGTTCATCCTTTTGTCCAGGCGATCCAGATCATTCCGAGAAGTGGTTCAGGAAGTGGCTTGGTGCCACAGTTGCGCTGAGCTGTGCCTCAGGGTAACTTTGCCATGCACTGAATGGCAGATATCCCACGTAAGAAGGCCCTCAGTGAGCTTGCCTGGGATTTGCAAGCCATTTCTGGGAGGGGGAATTCAGGCATGACTCCTGAAAGTAGGGGTTGCAGTGGGAAGCACATGCGCATGCCTTTGCCGTGGCGGTCACCTCCCCTCACAACACAAGACAGAAAAAGTTCTTTCAGAAGTATTGTATCTGTAGAAGTATATTGAGCGTAGCAGAGGCATAGCATCTCCTTGCCGGTTCATTGCATCTCCTTTTTCTATCTTATTCTAATGCTTTGTGAATTATTTAACAAGGTGGTTGGCGGTAGCCAGAGCTGTGTTTTTTTCGGTGCCACCGCATTCATGTTGTGGAGGATGCAACTTCGAGGGCTTGAGCCAACTGTTGCCACCCTGAATGCCTTGCTGGACGTGTGCGCTAAGCGCGGAAGATTGCCTCCAGCAGACTGAGCCTCAGTTAGCTGGAAATGATCGAAATGTTCCAGAGTAGAGCCAAGATTGAAGGGTCAATGAAGACAGCAGTAGATTTTGAGACTGTCTGTGATTTCCTGTTCCAAGGAATGGTGGTTTGAATTCATGGAAGACTCCATGCTGCAGCCTGACAGAGTAAGCTTTTGTGCTATGCTGAATTGCTGCGCAAAAAAGCAAGATACTTCCAGGGCAGAGGCCAGCCCAAGCAACTGCATCAGGGTTTTACACTACATAGCTTCTTTTATATACTGTACATATGTATGTATATATATACTCATAGCCATAACCATTCTGCTGCTATGTATGTTTGTACGCATGCGCAACACGATTGAATGAGATCTATGAGTTGCCACCTGGCGATCGTGTCCAGATGTGGTTCCTGAAGATGCAGAACTACCGGATAGCAGCGGACCTGATTGCCTACAATGCTTTCATTGCTGCTTACGCTGCGCAGGGGAACTTGGACAAAGCAGAAAGATTGCTTCTCATGGCGTGTGCAAAGCGTTTACAACCTGATTTGGTGACCTACAACAGTTTGTTACATGCCTGCGCCCGGGCATCGGGACACCAGGACGATTGAAGACAAAAAGATTAAGCATTCAAATTCAGATTTTGCTTTAAAACTTAGTCCAGGGTTCCCAGTTCCCATGGTGCAAGTCTGCAAGAGGATCTGATCCCACCTGCAAACCTTCAAAAGGCACTTATATACATATATATATATATACTCGCTGCTTGGGGTGGAAAGTTGCACATTACAAATGTCCCAATCTTGTGAGAAGAATGAGAAGCATTAATTAAACAGGTTTGTTTTGAAGTTCCAGGCAAGCCTAACGACAAAGTCAGCGCACTTGCGGCGTAAGAAAGCGCCTCTCTGTGCCGCGTCCAACAAAATCTGGATTAAAAGTACCCCGTAGACCACAAGCATCAAGGACCAATTGAAGATAACAAGTAGGACCATAAATTATATCAGCATAGACCCCAAACAGTTTCAACACGATTCGTTTGGACAAAAATTTGTCAAATATCAAAACGATTTCTTGGTACGCCCTACCTTCCTCCCCCAAGAGCAAACTGCTTTATCAATTCGGCCACAAGAGAAGACAAGAAAAGAGCAGGACAAGGGAAGACAAGAGGAGGACAAGACCCGGCCACAGAGTTCAGGGGCGCGGCCAGTCAGTGTGTCCAGGGCTGGTCAGCACGGCCAAAGGACAAGAGAAAGACAAGGAGGTCTACAGCAGGACAAGAGAAGGACAAGCGGAGGACAAGACCCGGCCACAGAGTCAGAGTCAGGCGCGCGGCCAGTCAGTGTGGCCAGCTCTGTTTTGTAAGATAGAACCCCAACAGTAAACTGGTTGGGGAACAAACCAATAAATGCCGTCACTGTTGGAGGATCTGGCGAAAGCAAAGGAGGTGTACTTGGTGAAAGCGAATGAGATCAGCCTGGACCCGGTGAGCTTCAACTCTGTGCTGCATGCTTGCGCACGGCTTAGCCAGGTAGCTGAAGCAGAGCGAACAATGCGAAGCATGGCCAAGATGCGAGCAATGCCCACCCAAGTGAGCTACAATGCCGTGATCAATGCTCATTGTCAGGCAGGGACGATAGAATGCTTACCAATCTCTGCAGTCACAGGATTCGACTCGTGCTGATGCAGGCAGGCAATGCTGTCGGTGCTACTTCTTGGCTTGATCAAATGGCACCTTGGCGTCACATTTTTCCCACAAGCATCTCCGATGCTTGGGTTCTCGTTTAGTCGATAGTGGGGGGGGCAGCGCAAGACGAGGCAAGCATATTCGTGGACGGAAGATGGGTGTGGACGGGGCTGCGGATGGAAGATGGAAGGGCACGCAGAGTCACGCAGCGTCACGCATCGTCAGCGATAATTGGACACCTTCACAAACCTACTCTGAGAGGGCATTGTTGGCGATAGAGGGGTCCCAATTATCGACGAAGACGCATGAAGACGCATGAAGAGGCACGAAGACGCATGAAGACGCATGAAGAGGTACGAAGACGCATGAAGACGCATGCAGAGGTTCGAAGACGCATGAAGACGCATGCAGAACGTATTACATCAATCTTTAC